TATATATGTGTATGTGTGTGTGTGTGTGTATATATATAGTTTAAACTATACAGGATGAAGCATAGCCCAACTAACAAGAAGCATCTCCTGTAAAGTTTTTTTGAGTATGGGATCGGGATTCAAACCCTCATCATTTTACTATGCTTAACATAGAAAGATGAAATTTTTTATTTAATATTTGAATTTCTTTCATTTTAAGTATGTTTTGATTTTCAAGTTCAATGTAATTTCTCCTTAGTTACCTTATATGATATATATTTTCTCTGATGTTATATAGAAGTTATAATTTTTGTAATAAGGATGGCCCTTTTTATAATTTATACTTTGTATATATGTCGGAAACTTCAATTTACTTTTAATTTCCTATTTTTACCCATATTGATTGCATGTAGAACAATAATTATTTGCACTGGCCATGAATTATATTTTATTCTCTCTCACTAAAATCCCTTTCTTTTTTTTCTTAAAATTTCTGCTATCCCCTTTTTTTTTTATTTGTTCTCCTTATAAATAAGTGTATGTTTTTTCTTTTACACATTTATTACCATATTCAATTTGAACCAGTTATTTAATATACGTAATTTGGTTATTTATGTCTTACATATAACATCAAAGAAAGTAAAACTTATATCTAATCAAATTATATAGGAAGTCGTATTGTTCACATGCCTAAAAAGAACTTCTAGGGCAAGAGGTGCTTATAGTACTTACAGCCTGAAACCCTGGGATAGAATTTTTTTTGTAAATGAAAAATGTTGGATTTACCCACCTATAAATGCAAACTAAAAATCTTAACTTTTTTATTATTTGGATCCAATGAGACTGGTATATTATTGCGCAAATCGTAATGCACTATTTCTGGTGAAAATGAAACCCTAATTATCATATGTACGTCCAAGATTTTTAAAGACAGTAAAAATACCACTTATGGCACCTAAATTCTTTATAGATATAGTAATTTTAATAACGATGAAAAATGTTTAAATTTATTGATATTTTTTCCCCATAGGAATAATCAACAGTTGAAAAGTAAGGCTTTTGGAGAGCTGACGTAAAGATATGATTTGAATAAGTTTGAAAAGTTTAGAATATTGCATTTCAATTCAAGTTACCTGTAGACTTCTCTTTGATAATCAAAACAACTGTACGATGGAATATTGCAATTTGTGAACAGTGAGAGAATATATATTATATTATATTCACTTCTGTTTTAGAATTTATTCGTACTTCCAACCAATTAAGTTCCTCATCAGCTGTTTAAGTAAACTTAATTATGATCATAACTAATTAAGCCTCGCATTTGCAATCCCATATTTACTTTAGGGAGATTGGTTCGTTTATGTGATATGAACACAAACCTATTTTCAGTGATACTTCTTCTCATTTTTAATATAAAAATTAGATAACTAATTTAAAGAAATTAAAAAATTAATTTATTTATTATTGTATTATGTTGATTTTTAAAAAATATTTTCTTCCATTATTTACATTGGAATCACTCTTTTGATAAAAATTCATTTAACATATACAATAAATAAAGATAATTTTAAAAAATAAATTATAAATTTAAGTGATAAAATGAACTAAAATCTTATATTCAATATCAAAGTAAAATTAATAATTAACCAATTCCTATATTTTCAGCAAAGAATTGTTTTTTTTCCTTTTTTTTTACCAACACAGCAAAGAATTGTTGCCTTTTGAAAGGTGAGACGAGACAAAGCTGAGCCGCTAATCTGGATATGGATGAATATAATCATATAGCTGGGTACAACACCTTACAATATAGGTCAATAGGGGTGGAGGAACACTAGTTAATATTGCTCGCTGTGTTTAAATTAAAAACTAGTTTAGTTTTTAATTTAGTTGTAAATATAAAATTTTAATTTATTTTGTTTTTTATATCTATTTATTTTTTAAAATAGTTCTCATAGTAATTATATATGTTAAATATTTTACCAAATAGTAATTTTAACTAATATAATTATTAATAAAAATTTTTTAAAAAACAACATATATTTATTATAAATAAATAATTTAATAAATTTTTTTAATCTATTTAAATTAATTAACTAAATTTAATATTGAGAATCTGACATAACTTATTTAATATGCTGCTATGGTCAAGGACACTTTATTTAAAGGGCCAGATACCCTATAAAGATATGGTCAATACTCACCTGAGAGACCTACACAATTTTGAGTGCGGCGTCCTTCTGCCATGTTAAGCAATTTTTTTACGGTTCTTTTTTTTTTTTTTCAAAAAAGAAAAAAACTTTGAGACCATGTGTATCCTAGTTGCCTTGTTCTTTGATATATATATATATATATATATATATATATATTTAGCGTTTTTTTTTCCTTGCTGAGTATAAGTCCTAGCAAATATATATTTATAGGTGGATTTAATGTGTGTTTTCAAAAATATCTATTATGAAAAAATTATAAATCACCTGTCCCACCTTTGATGTTTAAAAATGCACTCTTTTACATGTGTGGGCTATTTAATTGAGGGTAATAATGAAAAATAAAAAACTAATTTATACATGTTACTTTCTTCATATGTTTGTAGTTTTTAAAATGGTGTGTTACACTGTTACTCTTGTGCTTCTATTTATAGGATATTTTTAGTATCTTTTATATAGATCAAGTGAAACTTTAAATTGCATTAACTCTTTTTTAAAATATGATAATTTTTCAGTTTTATTTTTATTTAATAAATATTTTTTTTAAAAATAATTATCTATACTATAATAAATGAAAGACAAAATAATACATTCGTGTCAAAAATTTAATGAAGTAATTTATAAAAAGAACCAATAAAATTTTTTTCTCTCTTCCTTATAAATAGGATTAAAGAAGTATATTAAAAGACACAACTTTTTTTTAGAACGTTGTGTGTCAATAAATTCACATGTAAAAAGGTCCTCCACAAAAGAAGAAAACACACATAAAAGTAAAATAAAGAGAGATTAAACCCATATTTAATTATTTACGACAAGACTTGGATGTGTTTTTCTGTGCGTAATGCCCAATTATTAATTAACAATATAAAAAAAATACAAATTAGTTTAACCCATTCATACTTGATGGTAATTTGAAAACATGCATGAACAACCCATGCAAAAGTTCTTTCGTTAATGTCAATTGACTTTAGTTAATTAATAACTGATTGCATAAAACAAAGGAGCTAATCCCTTTCTAAATATTAATTAATTCCTTTTAACGACGTGGATGACATTGAATCCTAGGATGACTTTGACAGTTTTAATATTAAACTATACTTCCGCTTAACTACTTTAAAATTGTAGTTGTTACTAATTAAGATCAATTGTGGCACTTTAGCTATTGCCCTAGTCAAAACCATCACAATAATACGTCAGTTGGATTATAAACGATTATTTTTAGTTTTTGATATAAGAACTAGTTTAATATTTAATTTAATGTTAAATATAAGATCTTAATTCATTTTGTTTCTAATATTTATCTATTTTGCCCTCAACTAATCCTTATAGTTGTTGTATATATTAAGGAGTTACTATTAATGAGTAATTCAAACACATATTATTCATAAGAATATTTTAGAAAAATAACATATATTTATTATAAATAATTAACTTAATTAATTTTTTTAATTTTCTTAAATCAGTCAACTGTGTATTAGTCACAAGTAAACTATGCTCGCTTCAATCTTCAAAATAGAAGTAGATTAAATATATGTTGATTTTCGTATAATACAATTTTAATTATTTATTACAAGGAAATTAGATTAAAAAAATTTCTTATATGTGACCAATGGGAATAGTTTGAAAAAAATTATAAATTTAAAAAATAAAGTAAATTAAAATCTTACTTCCCTGGTCCTATGTATAGAGTGTTTATAGCATATTTTACATAGATTAGGGGAAAAATTGTATTGATTTTTTCTTACGATATAATAACTTTCTAACTTTATCTCTATTTAATATATATTTAAAAAAAATAATATATATAGTTTTATACTATAATAAAAAAATAAAATAGTATAAGTAGAATTAAAAAAATTCTGTTTATTTTATAAATAAGAATAAAGGAGTATGTTTTGAGATTAAACTTATTGGCTAACTTTATATTCAAAGAGAGATTGTCTCGCAGAAAAATTCACACCCGCCCACACACCCACCCGGACGCGCACATTAGAGTCCCGAGGAAGTGTTCGCTCATTATCATCACCGTTAGCTTTTTTTTAAAAAAAAAAAACTTTAAAAATCAGCTAAGGCTACTGGTCCAAAAAATATCATTATGAGCCTTTTGTTTGTTCTTGCACAGCGAAAGATCTCTCGCCAATGCCCTTCTTCCAAGTGGACGTACGCTTTATTGTTAGTTATCTGTCACGGAAAAAAAAAGCTAGAACTATACTTTTTCTTTTTATTTTAATTTTATAAGAGTATGAAATTTGAATTGTTTTGACCAATTTTATAAAATTTTACTTGTGGTTGTCCAAATATTTAATATATTTTTATCAATTTTTTCTAATGAATTTTATATATTGTATTAATTAAAAATTCTACTACATTTTTTTCATACTTTTTTCTCTTATTTGTCCCTTACAATCCGGGGTCTGCTTGGAAAAAAAATTCAACTCAACTTATTTTAATTATTTTTTAAATAATGTAATTTAGTTATTAGGCTATTGTAGAAAAAAGGGGAGGAGTATAAAAATGCCCTCTTCTTCAACTAGAGATTAATACGCAGAAGATCAATTACCTTGTAGTTTAACTCAGCTTTAAGTAAAAAAAAAAATATTAGAGCGTGTGTGTGTCAGTGTGTGTATATGCTTTAAGACTGGCATTCAAAGTTCAAAAAACATGTGAAAATATTTAAATCTGACTTATCAAGGACTAACATACATTAAAAAAAACAAAAAGCTTAGGATAATTCATCGTTGTAATTGTTACGTTCTTTCTCACTCCCTAACACTATAAATACTGATATGGGATGGATCACATCTTTCAGTGCTTCTCGTGCCTTTGGCTTCATTTTATGAGGCCTTCATCATCACCATCTTCTTCTTCTTCTTCTGCTTCTTCTCTTTTTCACGTGAGTATTTCTTCTTTTCTTCTTCTCCATATAACCTTTATCGTCTTCATCATTTCTCTTTGACAAATTCAGTCCCCACCTTATTGTGATCTCTGATCCGCGGAAAGAGAGATGATGCCCCCTGAGCAAGAAACCACTACTGTACAGGTCACGCCAAGCATTCCGGCCATCCCCAACCGCCTGCCGCCGGAGAACAGCTCCGTTCACGCCGACCCAGGAGGTTCCGCCTCTATTGAGGACAAGCCCAGCTTGGATAATTATGTCATTCCTCTTCATCAGCTCCACCCATCAGCAACACGTTCCGTTCTTCATCAATCCTTGCGACCTGTTACCCTCAAAGTAAGCGCATCTTCAGATCTCCAATCTCTAAAATGTTTGATATATTCGCATAAAACGTGATACTGACTCATGAAGATTGCGGATCAAATACACGTATTCTCTTATTTGAGGTTATAACGTAATAACGTAACTAATTCTTGTGTTGTAGATTTGTTGAGTTTCTGAAGTTGAACTGATGATCAAAATTTCTGTGTTTTTAGTTTGAAGACGTTTCTTACTGTATAACCTTTGGGAGCAAGAAGAATGGAGGTTGTTTTTCTTCACAAAACCCGAAACCGACCCGGACGATTCTCAACGGCGTGACTGGGATAGTCCGGCCTGGTGAATTGATGGCAATGCTGGGCCCATCAGGCAGCGGCAAGACCACGCTACTCACGGCGCTAGCTGGCCGGCTCGCCGGAAAATTCACCGGCAACATAACCTACAATGGCCTTCCTTTTTGTAGCTCCATGAAGCGCATGACTGGCTTTGTCTTGCAAGACGATGTGTTATACCCTCACCTCACTGTTCTTGAGACGCTGGTTTTTACAGCTTTGTTGAGACTTCCCAAAAGCCTCACCAGAGAAGAGAAGGTAGAACAAGCCGAGATGGTCATCACGGAGCTCGGGTTAACCAGGTGCAGGAACACCGCCGTGGGTGGCGGAACCGCCTTGTTCCGGGGAGTTTCGGGTGGGGAGCGAAAGCGGGTCAGTATTGGGCAGGAGATGCTGGTGAACCCGAGTTTGTTGTTGCTCGATGAACCCACCTCCGGGCTGGACTCGACGGCCGCTCAACGCATAGTGGCGATGCTCCGAGGTTTGGCACGGCATGGCCGGACGGTGGTGACCACTATTCATCAGCCGTCAAGCAGGTTGTACAGGATGTTCGATAAGGTTGTTGTACTATCGGACGGGTGCCCGATTTATGCTGGACAATCGGGTCGGGTTATGGAATATCTTGAGTCCATCGGATATCCGCCCACTTTCAACTTCATGAACCCGGCCGATTTTCTTCTTGACCTTGCTAATGGTAAGCAAATTAAATTCACCAGAATTTTTGCCATTTGCATGCATATTCCACAAATAATAATTACAAACTATACACACTTTCTATCTACATACACACAAATTTATTATAATCGCTAATTTATGGTTTCCTATAAATAATATTTTCTTCCCTTTTTGTATTATCTATTTTATGAAATAAATGGCATTACAGGAGATTATTGTTTTGGGATCACATCAAGCCGCAATATTTCAACCTGTAATTTCAAATTTCAGCAATTTTTTTAATTTTAATTAATTAATTAATTTTTTTTGGAAAAAGGAAAGTAAGAGGGTTCTGTATTGTGCATGTCAACTTCAGAGAGAGGACACAGCATGCAAGATAATAACAATAGAAGGACTTTGTACACCTGGTTATTATTGGGGGAGGGACCGGTTTCAAAAAGTAATAGTTATAATTATGGTGGCGGTAGTGCAAAAAAAGGTTTGAGGTTTCTTTCTCTATTCCCATGATCTTGTTTTTAAGGTGGCAACACCTCATGGGTCACTTGAAGCAGTAAATTGACAACACGCACGCACAACACCACCAAACGTCAGCTTCACAACAAGTTTCATTGTATTTATTTAATGTTACAAAGGTGCTGTCCCAGACACTCTTGTTCTCATCTGACCTGATAAAGTTTCTGTCATGGGATCCAGATAGTTCTTACAGTACTTACTTTCACTGTCCAAAGTACAAACTTGTGTGACAAAATTATTGGTGAGTCTAAAATTATGGGTGTGAGCTTTAAAGTTAGAAGATCTTGATGAGGGTGCATTAAAATCTGCTTTAGTCACAGACAGAACAGAGGATCTGTCAAATTCTGTAATCTTTTTTAAGATTCTGCCTGGGTTTGAATTGCAGGCATTGTGGATGATGTTAAGCTGGATGATCAGAATGAGATGCATGGCGGATTAGACCACATTGAAGATCAATCTTCAGTAAAAGAGTCTCTGGTTTTATCCTATAAAAAGAATTTATATCCTGCTCTGAAAGAAGAGATTCAGCTAAAGAATGAAGGCGCAGCTAGTTCAACATCAGGAACACCCAGAAGTAAGTGAAAAATTCTTGCTCAATGTGGGTCCTATGAATTTTGTATGATAAAAATATTAATTTGTGCTCAACATAGAAGCACATCAGAATGGTCTTTAATCATCCTGCATGGTTAGTAGGCTCAGAGAACAAGTGGAACACGAGCTGGTGGGAGCAATTCAGGGTTCTGCTTAAGAGGGGTTTACAGGAGAGAAGACACGAATCTTATTCAGGCTTAAAGATTTTCCAGGTCTTATCTGTCTCAATTCTCTCAGGCCTTCTCTGGTGGAATTCTGATCCTTCGCACGTACAAGATCAGGTATCATAAAAGACTCTCACTTTCTTTTGCACAGACTCTTCAAACTCAAGAAAGAACTTCCTCTTAACTAAACAATTTCTAATTCTGACAGTTAGGCCTGCTTTTCTTCTTCTCCATCTTCTGGGGATTCTTCCCACTATTCAACGCCATCTTCGCATTCCCTTTGGAGAGGCCAATGCTGATAAAAGAAAGATCCTCAGGAATGTACCATCTTTCATCTTACTACGTAGCCAGAATGGTGGGTGACCTACCCATGGAACTTGTCCTTCCCACAATCTTTGTTACCCTAAGCTACTGGATGGGTGGCCTCAAGCCTTCACTAATCACCTTTATGTTAACCCTCTTCATCATCATCTTAAATGTGCTAGTCTCTCAAGGAATAGGCCTAGCACTTGGGGCCATATTAATGGAAGTGAAGCAAGCCACAACCTTAGCTTCAGTGACCATGCTGGTTTTTCTGCTAGCTGGTGGCTACTACATTCAGAAGATACCATCTTTCATAGCTTGGTTGAAGTACATATCTTTCAGCCACTACTGCTATAAGCTTCTGGTTGGGGTGCAGTATGAAGAAAATGAGGTTTATGAGTGTGGATCCGGGTTTCATTGTAGGGTAATGGATTTTCCTGCAATAAAGTGTCTGGGTGGTCTGGCTCATTTGTGGGCTGATGTGGCTGCACTGTGTGTGATGCTGATTGGATACAGAGTTGTGGCTTATGTGGCTTTGAGGATAAGGCAGCCTCACTGACTAGCTCTACTACTGCTGGCTTGCTCAATAGATTAGGGATTCCTCTTGGTTTGTTGGAATTAAAAGCTCTGTCCAAGTGTTAAGATTATTTAAATTGTATGCAATATTACTTAAAGCCCTAGTGGTTTATTGATATGAAATGAGAGGGTAAATAATTTAAACATAAAGCCACTTTTCCTTAGTTCCAATTTTATCGGATGTCCCCAAAGGGACAACCACTTTTCTTTAGTTGTTTCTTATTTTGGGCTAAACCCACTTTTTCCTTCCATTGGGTATATACATTTAAGTAAGAGATAAATTAATATTGACATAAAAGTTACCCTTGACTATTGGTCCTATGAAATTCTGAACTTTGATGCCCTTGTTGTTTTTCTCGGATCGACCTAAATTAGTTGAGTGTCTAATGTGACTTCTGAATACTAGGTGGTTTGATGCCAATAAAGAATTACTTACAACACAAGAGCTATTGGTTTTATTATGACATAACCATATTATCATAATATATATATTACTCCCTCCGGTCCTAAATGTAATACTAATTTTATAGTATGAATTACACTACCTATTGGAAGAGTTTTTGGTCCTAAAAACTCTTCCGATAAGATTAGGTAACAAATGCATTTTCATCAAACTGTAATGTGAGATATTTTTGGTGTCCTAGAAACTAGGAGATATACACATCCCATGTTCTACAGCTTGGCTGATCAACACTTTATCTTGTGTTGCATTTTCATGTTGGCAAAGGGAATAAAACCTCAAAGTCTTCAAACCCATGAGAGTTTTGAGATGAATTTCATGAAAGCAGAATATGCTATCCAATAAAATATCTTCCAAAATATGCCTTAGATATGAGGAATCAAATGCCAAGTAAGGCATCTCTGCAAGGACCTCCAGTTCAGTTTATTCAATTCCCTCATTGACCATTACCAGCAACTTGATGTAATAATAGCATTCTAACTCCACCTTATTCTAAATTATTCCAAAATAGACGTGCTTTTAGAGTTATTACCTGGGCCAAAAAAATCAAGTGAACTGTACACTCTTTTACTTAGAAGAATATATTATTACTGAACACGCCTTCCCTCAAAGCTGAGAAACCTTCTTGCTCTCAGTCATCGGGACAGGTCAAGAAGCAGCCTGCTAAGCCTAGTGAGACCACTCCAAAGGCTCCAGCCTCCAAGTCCAAGCCAGACCCTAAGACATCTGAACAAAAGTCTCAGCCTAAGAAGAAGGTATGCCATTATGCATATAACTAAAAACTAGTGAGTCCTGTGTGTTGTTGACAGTTTCAGGAATAAACCCTTTTTTTTCCAATTAAAAGGAATAAACGCTAAGAGTCTAAGGTTACTGATGAGATCGAACCTGTAACCTTCTATTTACAGAAAGCATTCATGCCACTAGGCTATAAGGCTTTTGACCGAATAAGTCATGCTACTCATGGCTTAGACTTTGGAATTAACTTGTTTAGTTGTGTCAATGATCAAGTTGTGATGTCTTTTGATGATTTTTCAGTCAAGTAAGAGCAGTAAGTAAATGGAGAAGATATTTGAGGAGCATGAAGATGGAGAGACAAGAATGTTATTGGTACTACGTGTAGAATCAGCAGTACTGTACTATGTGCTTGTTGGTAATCCCACCCCCCATGTAACAACCGACAAGCTTGGCCTCATAAATTAAATAAACTTGTCATGATTACGTGCACTTGTGGCAGACATGCAGCAATGTTTCTTTTCTTTTTTTTTCCTTTTTGGTCTGAGGCATTCTTGTTCAATGAACTTAACCAAAATTACAGTACCGGCAGTAAAAATTTGAGGCTTGAGGATATTAACAAAATTATAACATGGGACTTTTAGAAGCACAGAAGTTAAACACAAAATCATAATTAAACGTTGCACATAAAAACTTGTGTTTTTCTCATTTCAGATTTCAGTAAAAAATGTGTTCCCCTAACTTGGCCTACAATGGAAGAGTGGTTCTCTCATATGAATAAAATGAATGTAAACATAGTAACAGGATTCCTGTCAGAGTCTTACGATTATATTCTTGGAATAAAATTTGATGATTCAACCAAAAAAGAATTTATATATGAACATAGCTTTCTAAATATCCTTCTTTGATTGTCCACCACCTTTCTACAAGAGTCTTGTGAATTCTAAGAATGACAGCATTCGTATCACTATGAATTTCAACTGAAGATAGTTTTTAGACATTGGTTATGAAAAAAATAAAAGAAAAAAGTGTAGTATTGGCTTCAACTAGACTATTATAATGTTATTCAATGTGATAGGAAAATGATTCAAGTTATGTTTTGAAATTATTTGTACAATAATAGAGTTCTCTAAGATTTGTTAACAATAGAGTTTAACGGTATCGTTCGGTTCATATAACTTAAAGTTTGCTGTTATTATTGTAATAAGCTCTAAGAATTATGGCTTACTAATTTAAATTTTAGTGTTAAAGATAATTGTTGATAAATATTAAACCTTCCGTGATTTCAGCAGTAAGGAATTTATGTTTTGTCATCCCCATTTTTCATATAATTAACTAAATAATGTCAACCCGTGCATTTGTATGAAAATTGCAGAAATAATACAAAAATTACATAGAGATTTCACATAAATTGGCATAGAAATTACATGGAAAACCAGAAAATTTTGAAACAATACAAAGTCCAAGTTAACATATATAAAATATGATGAACTTGTTTTCACGCACGTTTCAAGTTTAAAAGACTCTCGTGTGAATATGTAAACTATTAATACCAAGTAGTTGTTGTTGTTGTTTGTAAAGTACCATTATGATTTCCAAATACTTGCAATCCTCAAGATATTTACATATTAAAACATGAATTCATTTAACAGGACGCTACTGATGTCATATATCAGAAGTATCTGACAGAAATTGGATCTCTCAGTTTCTGATGTGAGTTTCTATCAAGTAATAACTGAGATTCCATTTCCCTCACAGAGACGATTAATGGCCAATGATTCTGATTCCATGTTCATTTCATGAAAACCTAATATCCTTTTATTGAATTTTGGTGGGAGGGAGCTAGTTGACAAAAATAAAGAAAGTAGCTAGCAATTGGAGAGCATAATGCATAAAAATGGCATCACTAGGCACTAAACCCATTTGCCAATTGCCACTAAAAGCACAAAATATTGATATCTCTCAGATTTTATACTGGGTTTTGCCCATAGAACTTTAGAACCCACCTTCTAGAATCTGTATTATAAAACACTGTTAATTAAGGACTGTTTGGCTGTGTGGGAATAAAGCTAAAGTAGGTACAAAGGAGGGTAGGCAGCTTAATTAATATATATATATATATATATATATATCTGACACAGATAAAAAGTACAAGAAAGACTTCAAGATGCTCAACTATATGTGGCGCTTCTTCTTTAACTAATATTCATTATGCCTTGTGAATTTTACTTTTGCAAAGAAACAAGAGAAAGATCACTGCCTACAAAGAGTTATTCCAAAATTTCCTCATGCATGTCCCTTATATAAACACACACACACACACACACACACACAAATCCAAGTCTGGAAGGGACTTTTCTGGAACAAAACTATTCAGTAACTTGGCTGTAGTCCTTGCAAAATTTGCAGGGAATTTAACAAAACCAAGGGCAGAAATTCAAAAGGAATGGTGCTATAGAAATATTTTCTTTCACTGTAGGTCCATTAATGAAATGTGTGGTCTATACAATTGGACCCTTGCATTCCAGGCCTTATATATTACAAGTTGATAGAGCTGCAGAAGTGGGCTTCTCATATATATAGGTCTATAATTTAAAAGTGCATAATTGATGTGAGAATTCTATTGATGGATAATATAATTTATAGATATCACTATAAATCTCTTGTAAATCATAAGACCTGCTTTAACCTTAACAAGCATGTAATACCCACCTCCCTAAAAAACTTCCAAGTACTTTAAAAATGCCAGCTTTGAAGATTTTGAAGGCAGTAATTGTGATTTACTCTAAAAGCTTGAATTGAACTAATTTTATAAGATGAAGATATACAATGTAAAATTAACATATGTTCAAATGCAAAAAAGGATATGCTAGGAGGAATGGTTGATATATGAAGCAGAAGGATCTGATGCTAAAGTTATAATAATCATGTGATATCCATGTCATCTATTCTATTCTCAGCAACTCACCACCATCCACCCCTCTCAGCCTCTCTCTAACTATGGTTCTCTATATAAGGCATTGTGGTCTCAGCGTAAGAAAATGTGAGTAAAACACACACAAACACAAGTCTCTTTAAACACTTATAAGTAGACTGTTTCTTTTTTAAGTATGGCATCAGTGAAGGAAGAGAAACCAGTGGAGAGCCAACCTCAGGGTCAGGGCATGCCAAGAAGGAGGGTTCTTCCGCTCCAAAGGCTGGTTCTGGTTCCAAAGGCCCTTCTTCCAAACTAGCCCCAAAGAAAACTCCCCAGAAATCTCAAGACTCTAAGAAGAAGGTATTCTTTTTAAACAAACCTCTATACTGCTTGTTATATGTGTATATGGATCAAGTTGACCTCATTGATTAACACTTCTTCCAGTTCTCATTACAAGGACTTCTATTGGGTCTCTTCATATATCGTGGTTTTTCCAAATTAATAATTTTTTCCATCTACTATCCCTAACAAATTATAAAATTTTCTAACTGATTAAACAAACTCTTTTAACTAATGACTTTTGTTGAGGGTAAATTTAGTATTTTACAAGAAATAACTGTTATCTTTGATCCTTAATATAAAGCTGGTTGGAGATTCAATTTCATCCTAAATCTCTAATATTTATCCATTTTGTCTTCAAATAATTCTTGTGATGATTGTATATATTGATAAAGTTTTATCAAGTGGTAGTTTAAGTGCACATGATTATTAAGGATATTTTGAAAATGACAATACTCATTTATTATAAATAACTAACTTAGCTAATTTTCTTAATATTAGCAAATTAATTATCTAATTTTTATATTAAACAGCATGACGTGTGTATGGAACTGTTGAATAGCGGTGAAAGAGTGAAAAGTTTGATTTTGTTTGAGGGGTTTAGGATTTGTGATTGAGTTATTGTGATGTTATGTTTAGGGAAAGGGAAGCAAAGGAGGAGCAGGATCAGCAAAGCACTGACCAATATAAAGGTGTGGCCAAGAATTAGAAAGAGAAATGCCCACATTATTACCAATAGTTATGCTTCTTAGTATATTATTTTCTAGTAGTACCCAAGGGCTAGGTGACCCTATATATATGTATGCCCTTTAATTATGCATGTAAATGATCAGCTTCCTACGCTTTGATCAAATCCAAAAATAATATCTTTGTTTCACATGATCACTTACAATTTAATACTCTCATGAATACTCCCTCAACTATAATCAAGTAAAAGAGGGAGAAGGGATATTAAAAAAAATGATTATGGTGTTTTAGGAAAAATATGTCACATTTCTTATAATTAACTAACTTACTTAACTTTCTTAATTTAATCAAATTAGTTAAATAGGTCTTATATTAAAGATCGGATGAGTATAATTTTACATTGTATTATGCCAAGTATCGTAAGATAATTTATTATATAAGTTAAGAACATAGTTTGAATCACTGCTCACCATGTGTTGAGATGACAACACATCTTATCGCTTGATAAAAAAATTTTAGTGTACTCGACTAAAATTGAGAAGGACCAAGTTTTCCCACATCGTTATCTGTTTTTCAAAAAGATGTACTCGATATTATTTTAAATTATGATAAAATTTTTGGGAATATATTTCTATTTATTATTATTATATATATATTAGTTATCATTCTTTTATTTATATTTTTCAGAATTTGTTATATGTGGTTTTAATTTTATATTGCTTGTCCCAGAAGCCCAGAGTATTTTTAAAGTTGAAGTTCAAACTTGTAATGGGCCGGCCTATATAAATGGACAATGAACCAGAGATGGAATAGAAACAATACATCATACAACCCCTCGTTTTAACCCTCAATATTTCCAACTCTGGTTTAAAAATCAATAGTTCCAAAATATGATATCTAAAATCTTCTTATTTTTAATGACTTTTTTCGAGCTGAAGTGACAATAAGTATTATAATTAATTGAGTAAGTAAATATAAACTAAATAAGTTTCCCTATACAAATAGAATAACGGAGGAAGCATATATTTAAATTAAATAATACAATTTGTCATAAATTCTGGAAGTACATTTCATGCTCATAAAAAAATGATGAGTACAAGCTAATCATGATTTATTTGGACCGTCTAAATTAATTTTAGATGATCCAAAATTAATCTAGTTTTACATTTATATATATATATTAAATACTATCTCCAGTCTTAAATATAAAAGCTAGTTGACTAATTTAAGTAGGTTAAAAAATTAAGTTAAGTTAATTACTTGTAATAAATAGGTATTGTCTTTCCTAAAATATCTTTACTAATCAAGTTTATTAGAATGAACATTTTGGGAAAAAATAAATAAATATGAGAAACAAAATATATTAACGTCTTATATTTAGAACTAAAATAAAAATTAAATAGAGTCTTATATTAAGAACTGGAGATAGTGTATTTTTTTTCTTTTGATACATGTATAATTTAAAATAAAAATAATTTTATAAATACCGCCTTTTGAATAATAATTTTATCACATAAAAAGTACTGTTTAAAATTTTTATATTTCAACAATACAGATGTTATCATAATGATAAGCATATGGTACTTAAAATTAATTAAAGCTTTAATGATCTATCTTAGCAAGTTTTTTTTTTTTTGGTACAGTCTATCTTAGCAAGTTGACAAATAATGAGTAACATGTATTACTCTCAGTTAGGACACTTGGATAGATCAAAAGCTTTAACTAACACCCCGTTGGCCCAAAAAAAAAAAAAAGGAAGCTTCTGCTAAGTTGTTATGAAATTTTTGTGTGAATATGTTTGTTCATTAGGACTTTATCACAACTTTCCCTAAAAAATTAGGTGAATATAAGTTTTAGTCATGAAATTTGAACTCATTTTAATTTTGGATTAAAATTTAAACGAGGTCAAAAATTAATTTTTGTGTGAAAGTAATGTTTTCAGTCTCTAAAACTTGAGACCATATTTAGTTTATAGGGTCTAACGTTTATAAACAGAGTAAATTTCAAGAGGAAAAAACACTAATTTCATATTTTATGGATTAAAATTTAAACGAGGTCAAATTTTATTATTTCTACTATCCCTAAAATATTTATAATTAATTAGTGGAGATTGGAATTTATAATTAAGATCATATTATTGGGCAAAGATTTGTTTCTACATTTTTTTTTTGTTTGCCATCGATCCTAAACACTAAAAGAAACAACGACAACACTTTCATGGTTGTAGCTAGGCTTCAACTTCAATTTCATACTAAACACCTTCCTCAGGACTTTCATAAATATGAGATTGTGAGTTTGAACTCTTAGGGGAAAAAAAAATACTCATCCGGTCTTTAATATAGAACCTAATTGTTGAGTTAGTTTTGGTCCTAAATATAAGACTCATTTATCATATTTATCAATTTTCTCTAAATTACCCTTATAGATACTCCTTCAACCATAATCAAGTAGAAGAGGAAGAGAAGGTACTAAAAAAGATGATTATGGTATTTTAGAGAAAACGTGTCACATTTCTTATTATTAACTAATTTACCTAACTTTTTTAATCTAATCAAATTAGTTAAATGAGTCTTATATTAAAGACCGAAAGAGTATAATAGATGGATGAGTTCCGATATGGCTAAAGAGAAAACTGAATATAAAATATTTCTTTTATTTTGGTTTATTAACTCCCACAATTAATTAACGAATGACATTTAAAGAGACAGTATTAAGGATCATCAATTTTGAAAATTTTTAAAAATAGATCAATGTTTTTGGTTTGAATTGAAATTTATTAGTTTAGTTTTTCAATATTTATTTTTTAAATTTTTTCAATATTCATCTTTGACATTTTCAGTACTCATCTTAATATCTTTTTAATACTTATTATTTCACTATATTCAGCACTCAACTGCGATCCTTTTGATAAATACACATATCTAATAATTTTTAATTAGTGCTAGAAAAAACGAAAAAATAAATCCTAAAAATATAGATGGACTATGAGTACTCAAAAATTCGAAAAATGTGCATTAACAAATTTTAGTTCCAATAAAAAACCATGGTGCTTTTTTATAAAAAAAAAATTCATAATCCTTAATTGTGATTAATGTTCTTAGAGAGTCCTTAAATAATATCAGTTGCCCCATAAATTAATTAAGCCCATCAGGTTCCCTCTTGTTTCATTGAGATAAAATTAATTTAATCAATATACTATAATATAAAGAAACTAGGGAAAATTACTGATAGGTCGCAGCTAAAAAGTTCTCCCAAATTAAAAGGCCTCCCAAATTTGTTTAAAGACAATACTTGTATAAAGTTTTGTTATATTCATCATGTCAAGTTCTTTAATTAAATATTTTCATGTTTTTTATTTTTAAAATATTATCATTTAATTATAAATTCTCATAAAAAAATAGAACAACTCGTTATATTATGTTTGATTAGAGAACTTGATATAATATATATAAAAAACTTGATATAAGTATTTCTATTTTTTAATGCTAAGAGTCCATATGATTTTTTTTGCTACGCATAAATATCCTCTAATGAGAGACAATCCCATTCGATGCACTTTTCAGTATTGAATATGGGCTTTTCTCATAATAGGAATTCAAATCTTGGTTCACAATATTATGAGGGACTAGGGTATTCCACTAGACTCAAACCTGTTGGTAGTCTTATTTTATTTAATGCTTACAAGTCAAATTTATAAATACTAAATTTCTTGGATTTTTTTTTTTTGCGAGAGAGGATTCTATTAGTATTAACTATTAAATGAAATTCAAAAAACTTATTTGTATTTTAAATTTTAAATAGAAGCAACTTATTCCCGAAAAGATGGAATGAATATATTTATATATATATGTTTATATAAAAATGTTTAGTATTGGGGGGTAATATTCTAATATAGACCCGATTTTGAAGTCTTTGAGGGAGGCATATAAAATGTCCAAGTAAAGGTAATATATCAATTGAATGAAAATTACTCTTTGTTATTTGGAATAATATAAATGTAGTGGGAACCAGCTGATAAAGTAAATTAGAATAAACTAAATTAGATCCAAAATGCGAGATGCCTTAAACAGTAATTTCAAGGGTGCTTCTAATGTATTGGCCAGTTCATAAATAAAATGAGTTTATTTTTAATGTAATATTTGATATTTTATTTCATTTCCATGGTTTAAACCTAATTCAATAATTAATACCCGAGTATCAATAAGGTGATCCATTTTCTTCTCAAATGTCGGAACAGATTAGGATTTTATTCTAGTTACATACTCATATATCTTTTTTACGACATCGTTCATATATATTAGATTTAAAATAATTCAAATTTTATTTTAAAAGGTAACCAAGTGTAGATAGTATATCTAATATTCAAAGTTACGTTAATCTAAAATGATCCAAATTATGTTTACCAAAAAAAAAAAGCGATCCAAATTAATACTACCTCCGGTTTTAAATATAAAAATTAGTTGACTAATTTGAGTAGATTAAGAAAATAAATTAAGTCAGTTATTTGTAATAAATAAGTGTTATCTTTCCTAAAATATTCTTGCTAATCAAATTTATTTGCTAGAATTACTATTATTAAAAGGCCTATCTTGGGGGAAAAAAACAAATATGAGAGACAAAGTAGATTGATGTTTTATACTACCTCCAATCCTAATTATAAGAGCTAGTTAACTAATTTGAAAAAATTAAAAAAAAAGTTAAGTTAGTTATTTGTAACAGATAGTATTGTTTTTCCTAAAATATCCTTGCTAATCAAGTGTATTGGCTAAAACTACTATTGTTAGAAGGACTATTTTGGAAAAAAAATACATAAATTTGATAGACAAAGTGGATTGGGGTCTTATATTTAGAACTAAAATAAAAGTCAAATAAAGTCTTATATTAAGAACTAAAAATAGTATTTAAAACTAAAATAAAAGTTAAATAAAATTTTATATTAAGGACCAGAACTAATACTTGGAACTTGGATCCTACTCGCATGTCTTGTTATTATGGTATCTGTGGGCACCATGGCCAAATTTTCTTACTTTTAATCAGATTTGAATTTTTTTAAAATTTGCAAAATACAAAATATAGTATGGATCTTATAATTTTCAACTCATACAAAAATTAATATCTCAGCTAATGAGAGTTCAGCGATCAGGATGAAAGTGTACAGTGCTTCATAATTGAACATAAATGTTATTATTGTACTGATT